ATTAGGGTCGCCATCGTTGTCCTCCTCTCCGTGCAGAGGTTGTGCGGTCGGGACAGAGGGTGAGAACTGGGGGTTGCATTCCACAGCAGCGGCGTACCGGTAGAGGGGCGGCCCACCTGGCTTTGGGTGCTGGAACTCGTCGCCTGTGTTGGCGCTGGGACGGCCGCTGAAGATGGTGGCGGCGGGGTGGTTGCCGGTGAGATGCGGTGGCGGCAACAGGTGACGAGTGCAGGACTGGTTGCACGCACCCAGGTGGTCCAGGCTGTTCATGCAAATCTCGTCAATAATGAGCGCACCATCGCCGACATTACGATGCACCTGTAGGCTGGCTGCGCTGCCTTTCCTGACGCTGTCCGCTCGGTTGCTGCCAGCAGATAGGGCAAACATGGCGTGGGTAGAGAGGCTGCGATGCACCGGCGTGTTGAAGGCAGTTGCAGCAGCCCATGAGTAGGCGCAGGTGGCCGCCCAGTGCGGGCAGCCATGCTGGAAGGTGTACCAGAGGAGCGCTTGTACGAACTGGCTCTTTCCGGTACCGGGCTTGCCCTCCACAAGCATCTGCGGCGGGTCGCCAGGGTTGGGCTCACCGCGGCGATCGAAGTACCGAGCCATGAGCATGAAGGGCACGGCCTGGTGGGGGGCAAGCGTGAACAGCTCGATGGTGTCATCAATGCTGGGCGGCTGGGGGAGGTGCACATAGAGGGGCATGCGAGCCTGTTCAGTCCGCTCAGGAGTGCCAGGCACGCGCACGATGGCGACCAGGGGTCCGCTGGTGGGGCGGTGCAGCTCGACATGAGGGGTGTCCATCTCAGGTGTGGCCGTCAGTCCCGTGTGGGCGCCCCCATCCGCCTCAACAGTGCCAGCTGCTGCTGCAACGAGATACCGCTTCAGACGCTTGGTCGCTTCAGTCAGGAGGGGCAGGTCCGCTGGTGTGATCCGACGGCTGAAACTATTGCTGCGTGCACCATGGCCGTCCACTAGGGCCGGGGCTCGGCAGCGCCGTGCTGCATCATAGGCATACACGCCAGCAGCATTGGTGCAGTCAAACAGGTCCGTAAGAGCGACGGCGGCGAGGTCGGTGCCAGCCGTCGGATACTCCTGACCTGGGATGTACACGAAGTGCTCCAACTGGTCCTCGGCAGGCGGCTGTGTTTCAGGATCAGGCCTGAGATGCCCGCGGATGCCGTCATCGGTATCTCCATCCGAAGTGCTTGTGCTGTCACCTTCAGGCAGCGCGGCTGCTGCCGCTGCCGCACGCTGCTGGCGGCGCCGCTGGTTGTACTCCGCCTGACGGCGGGCTTTCCCAGCGTGGTCCTCTTCGATGTTGTCCAGCAGCACCGATACATACGCCTGGTACGAGCGACCTGCCTCGGTAGTGCCCAGCTCTGCCCACCAGGTGTCGTAGGCTTCCTTTACACTCAGACCAGGGGGGATGGGCTGACCCCGGTGAGCTTTGAAAGTACCCAGGACAAATGCGTAGTACTGCGCCATGCCCGCAGCAGAGGTGCCAGGGCGGGGCCGGCAGGGAAGAGAGCCTCCAAGCTGTACGTATCGCGGCCGCGGCAGGCGGATGTGGACATGTGTTCTGTACAGCGGATGTGTGCCGTGGAAGGCCACCAGGCGGGGCAGCTCCGTGGCTGTCTGAGATGTTGGCTGGTCGAGTGTCGCTGCAGCTATAGGAGCAGGTGGCTCAGGAGGAGGGGCCGGAGCTGCAGTCAGCAGAGGCACAGGGGCAGGCACAGGGGCGGTTATGGGTGTGGCCGGGGTAGTGCGCTTGCGGCGTCGAACTGCCACCAGGATCTGTAGACCCAATCGCTCTCGGTGCGGGTGCTGAGCTGGCGGCACACGTCGAACCTCATAGTTAGAGGCTATGTTGTACACACTGCAGTCCAGGCCGCTGAGTTCTTCCCCCCGCAGCATGTAGTTATGCACGGCGTTGGTCACCGTGCAGCCCTCCTGCTCCTCAGCCTCCACCAGTACTGCTGCTGTGGTCGCCGCCTCAGGAGATTGCTCGGCGCCCGCAGATAGCGCTGTGAACGCGTCTACCTGCAGGTATGCGCACTCGAACGTCGCCTCGAAGGTGGAATGACCGTCCAGCTTCATGGCGACAAGCGCCATACCAGCCGTAACGGCAGCGGTCATGCGATGCACAGTGGCACACATGTTGCCAAAGGCGGTGGGCCCACTGGCACCCGGATTCGGCGTCCTTCCAGCCAGCAGGAAGTCCTGTACTCGGGTAAGAGCGTTGCATGTCAGCTGCGCCTGGCTGTCGTTGATGCTCTTGCCAGTGTACTTCGTGCTGTAGTAGGCAGAGTCGCGGGCGCGGTCAGCAGCAGGCTGCAGCGGCACACAGTCCCCCCGTTCATCTTCAGGGCGGGCCAGTTGCGCTGCTGCCTCTGCCGTGTAGACGCGATCCACCTCGCACGCCAGAGTAAACAGCTGGTTGCACCCAAACGCCAGCGCTGCAGCTGGCATGTGCGGTACAATGTTCGGGCCCAATCGTGGCAGAAGGAAGAGGCCGCCGGTGCCAATCCACTGGAAGGCGCTGCGCAGGACACGAGGGAACGCCATGCCACAGCTATCATCTGTGCCACGGCAGCCGTGTCGCTTGCACGTGTCGTTATGTGTATGAGTAAGCGTGCTGCGAATGACGGCCGCGTGGTGCGCACGGCAAGCAGCGTGCCGGGGAGGCGGCGGGAGTCCGCCACCTGCACAGCCGGCGAGCCTGCCAAAATCGTATGCTGCAGGCGGGCAGGACTTGTCCACGGGCGGAGGTGCACGGCCATGCTGCTGGACCTCTTCGACGGTCATGTCCATGATGTAGTGTTCTGCACCGTGGGTGAAAGGGTCATAGTACGGCGAGGGGTACCACATGGCGCACAGGGTGTATGCCAGGGCCAGCGCTCGGCAGTTGGGTCCACTGAACAGCGCCTGAAGGCGCTCGACTGCGAACGTGGCCACATGCGCAACACCGTGGATGTGCAGGGCGAGGCGGCCGCTCTGCTCCACCTTGACCGCCACCTCAAACATGAGCCCACAGAAGCAGCGCGGGTTGGTCTGCTGCATGGCGCCCGGCGCGAAGCCGAAGAGCTCCTCCACCAGAACCTCCTTGGTGGCCACCAGCAGGGCGGCACAACTGTACGGGTCATCCTTCACACGCCGCCACTTCTCCACCGTGCTCGGGATATGTTGCGGTCGTCCGTCATCATCGAAGTCCAACACCTGTCCGGAGGCCACGACTGCACAGGCTGCATGCATATCTGCCGGATTTACGGTGAAGAACAGCGGGGGCCAGCCAATGGTGAGGGCGGCTGCACGCATCTTGGATCGGGCACCGTTGTAATATGCGTCTGTGAGGTCGAGGCGCAGAGTACTGAGGCGGGCCCCCTCCACCAGCGCCTTAACCAGCGGCGACTGCTGCGCAAGCAGCTGCCGCCGCTGTGAGTGCCGATACGGCAGCGCCAGTATGGTGCCCATAGCACGGATTACATCACGCGGCACACACGCCGCTGGTTCGCCAAGATGCGGCCGCATGTTCATGGTGATGCCCACTTGCGCCATGCTTTCGTGGCGCACGCAGATGTCGTACATGCGTGCCAGCAGCATGAGATTGCCGCCGAATTGTGTCCGCGGCACGCGGTGCAGCAGGTGGCGACAATACGCCGGAAAAGACATGCCGCGGGGGCGCTGACCAGAAAAGCCGTACGGGAAGGACTGGGGGAAGCAAAGGGTGAGGATGGCGGGATGACGGTCATCCAGCACGTGGCTGTCACGGCCACCAGCCGCAAACGCAAGCCGTGCGCGGCCAGTCAGAAGGTCCTCCACTCGGCCCGGGAAGCGGTCAATTTCGCTGCCATCATCGCCCACATTCGACGGCTGTGGCAGGATCAGCTCCAGCTCGTCCAGAGTGGCAGCTGCCGGATCGACTGCAGGATCAGACGACAGATGCGCAAGAGCTGGGTCAGGATGCATGATCTGGCAAGTCATGCGATGTGTTAGCT